GATGTTTCATCCGTATAATCATCACATTGATATTTTCCGTCTTTCAACAGCTCTCGTCGAATACATTTTGTATTTTGATCACATTTGAAGCGATACGGTAAATTCATTGAGCATGTTTGAAAATCAAGTTCATCTTCTTCATTAGAACAATCAGCATGACCATCTGATAAACGATGCCGAGAGATACATTTAGTTGTGCCATCGAGAAACGACTGTAAATAAAACTCAATACATAAGTACTAATAAATAAGCAGTTTTTCTTCGGTAGACACAAAGCATCTTCTTTGCGTCTATTCAGAGAATGACAATTTCCCAACGATAATTTATCCAATCAGACAGAAAGCTCTATTCTCGATGTCAGTGGCCAGCGTTAATGGAACGAAACTGGCGTCGTTTCGAATGAATTTTCTTAAAAAAGTATCAAAGATAAATCTCTATACTACGAAGCCTATGGAATATCAAATATTGAACTCGCTAATACACTGTGTCCTCTGTTGAATTACAGCTGAGTCATCATGCAACAATGCTCAAGATCTCATGGTGTTTGCTGTACCTTTGACAAAGTTACATGCGAATTTGAATTGACCATGAGTGTAAGGAACATCTATAAAGCATGTAAAAGAAATGTCTAACAAGAAAATAACAATTAATGAAGAATTTGATGATGTACTGTTCAACTGTTTGCCAGAAATGATTGAATTGAAAAGTTGACGAACCTGCATATCTGGCTGGATTATGAACGAATCAGACGATGAAGTAGAAACAGGGATCACAAGGGCGTCAACAGCATTCAGCATCCTGCGTAAAATTATAGGGCATTAAACACACGATATAGAAAAAGCGTTCCGATAGGAGCTAAATTGAAAATTTTCCGGCTTTGTACTGCCGACGCTTCTCTGTGGTAATGAGAACTGAGCATTAGCCTTGGTCGAGAAAAGAAAGTTCCATGCATTCAATATGTGCTGTCTACGAATATTATTATTAGTGGAACATTAAAAGACAGATTGCCTAATGGAAAGGTATTGCAAGTAACTCGTGGTGACTTACTAATTACTTAAAAGGAGATTGCATTCCTAACCGTTGCCCTAAAGGCACATATGTTTTGATAGTGACTAGTGCCTGGTGACTTCTTGCAGTCTAAGAGGTGTCTAAGTAAGGCATTACAGCTGTCACTTAATTATATGTACAGAATATGTACACTAAGTATAACTGATAACATACATTTAAAATTCTGATTCTTTCTTGTATGAGCACACAATATAAGGTGCGCACAATTCAAAAATCGAGCACTATCTCAGTTTTTGGTCGAAAGCTACATAGATCAGAGTCACAGATACGCCTGACTGCACTGATTCCGAATCTCACCTGGTCACCTCCATGTCGACGACCTCCTCCTCATCAGATGACGACAGGTCGGTTTGCGAGGTTCTTTCCTCAGTTCATCTTGCCGTTATAGCCGTTTGTGATTGTCTTCGACGAATAGTTCTTTTCGTACGAGGCACGTTGAAACAACAAGGTTAGATGAAAATGGGCAGCTGTGTTTATCTTTTCTCCTTCCTTCGGTCTGACACGAAACCATAGCGAACTTCTCGTTCGCTTCACATGTGATTGAATGAGATAGCTGCTTATTATGTAGGGATACCATTCATCGCATTCCATGTGTCTGTTTGTCTTCTCTGTTCTATTATCAGGCATTCTCACACGCTTCTTCTTCTTCTTATCAAGTCTCTCTCCTTCTCTGTGCTGATAAAAGAAAGTGTGAAGTTATTGTGGAATAAGAAAGAGAGAGAGCCAGATGCACAATGTAACATACTCTTCCTTCTCCTCTACACTCTAGAATAAATCAAATAGAACTACTCTCTAGAAAAAATCATCAACTTTTATACAAAACGAAAGAGAGTGTCAACAAGAACGGTCACGACCATCATTACGGTCACGACCATCATTAAACCAGCCGCCATCGATCTTCAATAAGCAAAGAGCGTGAAGTTTGCAAAGGAGGGGGCCCACTTTTCCTTGATTTAGGCCCACTGCTTTTTCGACTTAGTTATGATCAGGTTTTGTAGAGAAAACAATTTTCCACATTTTGAAGTGCATATGTACCATTATAACCTTATGGGGACTTTTAAATTAACTTTTCTGAGAAGGACCATAAAGCATATCAATGCTTAACAAAAACGATTTTGTTCAAAATCTACTATGGAGTTATGGTAAAGCATGCTATAGAAAAACAGTCAATGAAAAACTGAGCAAATTAGTACATGGACCATAGCCACACACTGCATATTTAAGGAGAAATCATTTATTTTCGAACATCCTCTATCTAATGATCATCCTTCAGCAATCATTTTTCCCCATTTTAATCCATAAATAAGAGAGGATGCAACTAGCCTTTGGTATAGAAAAATAGCACTTGAAAAGCTCTACAATATTCTGAATAAACAAACTCTATATATCATTGGCTCAATCCTTTATAGTTCAAATACGAGCCCGATGACACCTAAAAGTCAACAGAGCATTTATTTACAGACGAATGACATAATTAAATGGATGATTATTTAAACTATACGATGAATTAGGAGAATCGCCGATTTCCCATTTAGCAATCCATTCACTAACCGATTGATGGAATTCTTACCCTCTTTTAAAAGGCGACGCCGGTCTTTCGATCGATACTCGGCACCTGCTTCTTATTATTATTCGATAATATAATACCACCATACAGACTTCGACATTTTCACGTTGGTTCGGACAAAAACTGAGTACTCTTTATGCTAAAAAGGTTTCTTAAAATGAACACTTCTGTATGATAGGTTTCCCATTGTGTCCTACAATAGAGTTCAAATTTTACACAAATCTTCCAGTATCTGCAATACCTTAATAGCGACTAATGATACCAACGTGATTATGCTTAAAAATACTTTTTTCTAAGATGTTAAGCACAAACTATTTGATACAGTTTTTAATGCTGAGCACGAAGATAGTTCTAAAACGGAAAGAAACTGAATTTCTAAAATTGTCCACTGTAGCATACCATAAAAATATGAATGAATACTTCTATTTACGGACTTTAATAAAGATAATATACGCAAACTTCACTGGAATCTCTGTCGATAAGGTCAATGACCTCTCCTTTCCTTTCAATACATCAATATCCATGTTGTACGCAAAAATACGTAGACATTATTAAGAAGTAAAAGGAGTAATTATTGTGTGCTCGTCTCATAATCGCGAGGATAATAAAGTATTTCATATTTAGTAGAACAAGGGTGTAATGAAAGAGAAAATCAGTTATTATTACCTGATTATCGTGTCTGCATTGGTATAGTTGCGAACAGTTAAGTGTTAATGTTTGGTACAACGAACATGATTTAAATAAATTTTGAACATCCTGCACAAGATTAAACCATTTATAGTAAGTTGAATTTAAATTGAGTTTATTGACATTAATACATCTGCGTGTGTCATTTGTAATCGTAACTAAGGATAATCTACTTAAATGTTGACACCATTGTTCGTCGTAACAAATAAAATGTGGTTTCATATTTGTAATATTTTGTGTTATATTGTACAAGAAATAGACGTATCCAAATACAATTGGTTGTGACGGAAAATAGAATAATTCATCATGACACTGTTGCGCTAAAGTATCATTTTCATCACACGTCCGTTCATCGACCTGAAGATATTGATTGATTCCGAATAAACAAATGAAATAGATTGTACAATCAGTATTGTCTGATGAAGTGAATGTTTGACGTATATAATAGACATCATGTTGATTTCCACAAAGACGATCGTAGCGATCAACATTATCAACATCCTGATATAAGTTACGACAATGACCATCACCACATGAAAACTGTTTTGTTAATGATGAACATGCATAATCATCACATGATTCTACGCTAGTCAGCGTGTAACATTCAGATATTCGTTGGTCTTTGAGTTCAAATAATTCATCACTATGATCTAGACAATCACGATATTGATCGATATAAAATTCTTTTGGTATACAATGACCACTTAAACAACGATATTCTCGATCTGAATCACAT